AAAAAGCAAAAAGCTGAGAATGGGCAATCATTATCACAATTCTCTCGAGACTATATGGTTTAAAGGAATGTGGTAAAAAATAAGAGATCCTACTCTAATAAAACCTCTATCTTCTTTGCCAATTCAATGAATGCTTTGGCCATTGCTGAGTCGGGATACTTTTCGAAGAAATCTTCTCCATTGTCCAGTGCCTAAAGGTAAAAGTTGTATCAATAAACACTTCCTCGGCAGTCTTTCACTATCATTGATATCCAACTTCAGGACGTTAAGAAAACTTCTAGTACAACGACGATCACTCGTTTTTCAAGTACCGTTCAATAGTAAAACCGGTGTCAGACTTTGCGAATCCAGCGACTCGCTAGCGAATCGCCGGACAAGAGCGTTGCGCCAGCGAATGGAACGACGTACCAGCGATTCGACACTGAAGGTGGCGGGACTCAATTTGAAAATTGGCTCTCGCCATTTCCCGGGCTCAAGAGGGCATGTGAGAGTGAGAGGGCATGAGAGCTCGAGAAGGTAGCGAGAGTCAACGTGCAAACGAGAGGGAGTCCCGCCACTTTCAAACAGTGTTGAGTCGCTGGTACATCGTTCGATCCGCTGGCACATAGTTCGATCCGCTGGTGCAACGCTCGTATCCGCGATTCGCTAGCGAATCGCTGGATTCGCAAATGTCGGACATCGGCCTTTGACATTCCTTGGTATACTCCACTACAAAAGTACAAGTAGAAGCATGTCTTACTTGAGCAAGAGCAGGTTCCAACGGCAGCTGGCTAAGAAGCTGCAATTTTCCTTCTTCACACATAGTTGTCGCTCCTCCTGAAATGATCCTACTTGAAAACTGAACTTTAAAGAGCCGTTTGAAGTGAGACTGCATGCCAAGGAGCAAAATTTATGTATCTTAAGTATACATAACTCACCTGTAGTGGAAGGAAACAGTATGCTGGCATGATTGCAATGTGGACAAACAAACTTTGCCATATTTTCCACAACACCCAGGATAGGAACCTTCGTTTTGTGACAGAAGCTTACCTAAATGTGAGCGATGTATGCCAAACCATGACTGTTAGCTTTACAGCAGCACAGAGAAAAAGGCTCAATACCATTAATGTACCGACTCTAAAGAATTGAAGAATAAAGTCTACTAAAGTAAGAGGGGGCATTGCGATACCCAGTCTCTAATGCCAATTTAGCTCAAGAAGCCTTAAAGTTACGAACTGCTATCAGCTTTTTCCTACGTTGTTTCTTCTGGTTTTTGCATAATGTATGTGTTCTTGTGTTTTATGACATAAACGTCTATGAAAAGTAATATTCACCTAGTGAGCAGTTAGGACTAAGCCTAGGAAGAAGAGGAAGCCTCCCTGAGAGAAAGCGAAGACTGCGAACAACCCGGGGACCTTTCTCTCCCTTCTAAGCTTACTTCTTTATGCTAGCAGAATATGCTATCCGTAGTTTTAAAGACGTTGAACGCTCCAAACCGCATGCCCCTCCTAAGTGGAACAAACCCAAAAATTTTGCTTGCGGTCGGTATGCTAACAAGGAAATGTGGAGGGAAATCCAAAAGTTCTCTAGTGAATAACTACTCACCTCTTTCCGAACATCGAGCAATGACACTTCCTGTGGGGTGCTGACAATGATGGCACCGTCAAGACTCCCTGCTTGCAGAAGGAATTGCACCAAAGAGATGTGCTCATCAGAAGTGCCTGGTGGAGTGTCTATCAACAGGTAGTCAACCTAAAAATGTCCAATTCACAATATGAGAAAAAATCAGTTCTGGATCTTTCATTGGAGATGCATAGGAATGCTCAGAAAAGGGCAATTACGACCCGTGAAGTAACATTTACCTCTCCCCAATCAACATCACGCAGAAACTGCTTGATCATGCCATTTTTACGAGCGCCACGCCATATAACAGCATCGTTCTTATTTCCTGTAACAAAATCACTTAATTTGTTTTAATTTTTATATTTACAAGAAATCTATGTCGAAACAGAAATACAAAGGAAGGGTGTGGTTCACTAGGACAGAAAGCGAATGTTTCGCGCTCCGCAGCGCGAAACAGTCTTCGCTGCGGAAACCTCTGGTCCC